CCTCTGCCCCACTTCAGGTAGGGGACAGTAAATTGCCAGCGCAGTAAGGAGCCCATCTGCCTGTACCATCCTCTCCCCCTGCAGCACAGGCATCTCCACACCTGGAGAAAGGCACCATTTCCCCAGCCTGGGCCATCACTTTGCACTTGCTGCAGCCCTCACTCACCTTTTTCAAATACCATCCTTCTGCTTGATCCTTTCACAGAATCACGACATCATTCGGATTGGAAGAGACCTTTAAGATCTTTCCTACAGCCTGGACTAGGAAATATTGACAGAAAGGTTTTTTTCTTCTCCTTTGTCTTCCTGGGGACTTTCTCATGTTATCAGCAGTACAGAGCAGCCAGTCTAAGATTTGAAATGGGCTTCTGCCCAACCACTTGCCATGGCTTGTTGCATCTCCCCATTATTTTCATGCCCAGGATCTTGCAGTATGGGCCATATCTGGCTGTGGGGCTTGAACATGAAGGGATGCTCCTGATCTGATTTGCCTGCTGTTTTACAGGTTTTTGGTGGGACATCAGCTGTACCATGCCCCTGGGGGATGAGAGCTGACTGGGTCCTAGCTTGATGTGATCTTTAGGTGCACAGGACACTCATTTTTCCAAAGAGGATAATGTTATTATTAAACGGATAGAAAGGTGGGAAGAGGAAAGATAAATAGAGCATGGAATAGAAACAGAACACATACATTAGTCAGTCTTTTCAATGCATAATAAGAAACCTTTCTATGAGATTAAATTCAAGCCTTGTGTAAGTTAAGGAGATAGTGTAACAGGCTGAATTTTATATTAACAGCTTTCATTTCCTAAAGAAAAATAAATAAAAATTAAATAAAATTGGCCAAATGTTGACATCTCCAATCTACCTCTCCTACACTTTCTTTAAATAATCTGATGGCTCCTTCTTACATGGCATTTTGCTTTCATTTTGAAATCACCAGTTGTTGACTTGCTTCCTTTCTATGATTGTTTTGTTCTTTGCTTTGTCCTTCAACTACCCTTCCCTAGCACTTTTTATGATATTTGTTCCAATACAGACAGCTTCAGAACTATTTGGTATTCCTCTGTGTTAAAATAAAGTACAAAACAGGACACATTCAAATATTAATAATTTGTTGTCACACTTTTTAAAGATTGTACTGTTGAAGATAAAAACAGACAATGACATGAATGCAGAGGAGTAAAGTGGAAAATATAAAACAACTACAGCTTATCATGATGAAAGAAATATTTCTTTACTATGTGTATGGTGAAATATGTCCATAGAAACTTAATTTCGTTGTAAGAAACTGGGAAATCTTTCCACCTCTCTTTGTTCCCTTAGTCTAAACATTCATATGTTTTTCAGCCTATCGTCTTTCCCAAACACTTAGTCCCTTCTCATCTTTTCTCAGTATATTTCTATACTTTTCATTTACTATCTAGCTGAGATCTTGTGCTAGCCTCATTCTTCTATTTAGGACTTCATAAATTGTTAAACAACTTCAAAGCAAAAAGTAGTCTTTTTTCCCTTATGCCCTTCAATTGAACCATTTTCTTCCACAGGTTGGAAGGACTGTAACAGAAACACACAACCTGGCTGTATTTAATCTCCTCCTTTCTTTCTTCACATTTCATTCAGAAAAAAAAAAATAATAAAAATTGAAACAGTATTTAATCTTATTATCACAGCTAGATGAAGCAGTTCTGCTTTATTTCCCTGTTCCTATGCTGTGTGATTCTCATCCTAAGCCAGACACCCTTTCTTTGGTACCTTTTACTTTTGCAGACGTTAATGTGCATCCCTATACACATGCAATTTCACATTCAATTTTCTGTACTCTTATGATCCAGAGGTCAGTGTGTGATAAGCCATTCCCTAAAAAGTGGCAGAAGATTAAACACTTATATAAGTTTTTGACCTAGAAAGGAAAGAGGCTGAGAAGAGATATAATTAATTATATATACATAAAAGATATTTGAGATGAGGAATGATATTTGTGAATAGGACAAGAAACAGTGTGTTTAACTTTGCAGCAATGGAGCTTAGAAATACCCTTTTTGTAGTTATGGTAGTGAGGCACTGGAGTAAATTGCCTTTTAAAAGCATGGATTATCCTGTAAAGAGACTTGTAAGCACTGGTTAGAAAGCCATTTCCCAGGACTAGCATGTGTGTTATAGATGCTGATGTGAGTCAGAGGTGGGTTAGCTCCCTTTAAACCCTTTTTATTGTCATTTTTCCGCACTTTGTTGTAAGCAAGTAAACTTGTGGGCTAATGGAAGCCATGTCATATAGGAGCAGTGACACACAACAAAATACACTCTTTGCATCAACCGCTGCTGGAGGAAACCTTGTTGGATTTATTTCTACCCAGGTAGCAAGATGAGGTACTATGAGAGATAGTCAAAAGAAATGTTAAAGGGGTCAGAAGAAAAGATAAAGGGAGAATCTATGACACCAAATGAATAATGTAAATCAGTGACCATTTCCATCAAGAACAGTCTATGTTTATTATGTGTGGTTTTAGTGTGGTTTAGTGTGTTCAACCTACGTGTGGTACATTAGAAGACCACAGAAGACACATTTTCATGGAGTACTACAGGATCTCTTTGATAGAAGAGTTGTTGGGAGGAGGGTAAATTACTTTCATGTACTAAATCAATACTAAAGTTCCCATATTTCTCTGTATTCTGTACTTGGGAGATTGGAATACCTAGTATATGCTCATATCAATAGACGTAGTGGATGAACTGAGTAAGTTCTGCTATCGATTTCGTATGGCAGCTCTGCAAACCTGAACTAATGGTCCTCCCTGAGCTTTGAATATATATAAATCATCTGCTTTTCTAAGAAAGTGAGGCTAAACTGTAGATCTTCTTTATTAAAGCGTGAAAGCAGAGTGTTGTGGGGCTAAGCGACTGTCAGAAAAGTTATTCTTTTGTTTAAGATAACCTGTCCCCTTTTCACAAAGACCTTGTTTTTGCCATTTAGATAGCACACAAAAGCTATAGGTTGGAGTTTTTCAAGGGGAAAAATTAGATAACTCTGTTTATTTGTGTGACTGCAAGCAGAGGCAGTCCTCAGGGTCTTGCCCTTTAACTTGTCCTATCACTATAACAGAAATACAGAGCTAATCTAGCTCAGGTCTTTGACATTAATCACACGTGAGAAGTTTGACCAAGATCTGATATCTAAACTTGCTGCCAGGTCACCAGGAGAGAAATCTTGAGGTCTTTTCATTTCTTACACCTTACCTGTGCAATGGAAAGACAGCTTAGTCAGTGCTGAACAAATGCCATGATGTGACTAAGGATTAATCCAAAACAAGAGCACAAAAGAAATCTTGGTTCGGATGCTGTGTGGTTTTGGAGATTTTTTTCAGTCTCTAGAGTCAAAGAAGTCAGTGGAAGCCCTGCCACAAATTGCAGTGGTCAGGCTCTTTTCAGGGTCCACCCACTTGGCATCAACCTAGCTGAAATTCTCTCTGTCTTTCCTATGGGACAACTGGTCAAGGTGCTCTAGGAGGAGTCCCTTGGAGCTCCTTATGCAGTTGTTGCATTTATTTTTTGGGCCAAAAGTAAATGGCCTCATTGCTGTTGCTCTCGTATGAGGAACTTAACACTAATTAATGCAATGACAAGGTTACATCAGAGAGAGTTTAATTTTACAGTGTCTATCAAAGATATCCAGGCAGTTCCTCTGGATGGTGGCTTTGGTTTACAGTGTGCCTTTTCAAGCCAAAGAAGTGTCTGCTTCGTCTGAAGTGCAGCATGATAAACAGGTCAGGAATAAGTAATACATTTACCCTGTTATTGCAGGGACAGAGCTTAAGTGGGCACAGCTTCAACTGGAAACTCACTTTTGAACCCAGGAGCTGGCACACCACGGGTGTTGTCATTTTAATGACATCTTTACAGCATGCCTGGAGAACCAGAGGGTTAACCCAGCTTTGCCTTTCAGAAGGGAACTGCACCACCCTGTTTTGCCTCCCCCATGCCTTTCCTGGATGGGTTTCCTAGGACTGAACCAGCCCCCCTGCCCCAGGCATCCCTCTGGAGCAGTGGGTTGGAGGGTGCCCTTTGGGGCTGCAGTGGGGAGCAGGGCTGTTGCCAGAGCCCTGCCACTGTCACACCGTGTGGGGGGAGTAACCTACCTTCTCACCCTGATGCACTAATGGGGGCTTTTCCCGTTTCCTGGCAAAGGGCAGCTGAGGGCATCCCGGGAAGCGTGAGCGAGCCCCGGGAGCAGGAGGGAGGCGGGGGAGACCGTCCCCTCTCCCTGCTGCTGCTGCTGAGGCTGTGCCGGAGCCGGAGCCGGAGCCGTCGATGTGGCTCCCCAGAGTTAGTTGCTCAGCAACCAGAATCAATTAATATGCTTTGCAGAAAGTGCAGGGGAAGCCCGAGCTGCTGTCAGCGAGAAGGCAGGACGCTGAGTGTGACTCAGGATCCCACTCCTGCCTGACACCCAGTGGGTCCCACCCCATCCTCTCCAAAACCCCTGTTAGCCACCGTTCTTTATCTCTTTCTGCTTCCCTATGATGACTTAGTGCTTGTGTCCCCAAACCCTTCAGGCTATGTATCTACTTGCTCAACAGCTCTCCTGCTTGGAGGGCTTTGCTTTTAGATCTGATTTGTATTTTGGGCTTAGTTGTCAAGCTTTCTTCATTTCTTTTCTAGAAATTCTGATATTCATATTCTTTGGAAAGGGAAAGGGAGAGCTGATGTTTTTGTCAGATGGTTTTAAATATTCCTCAGGATGAGAGGGTTGTTTGGTAGTGCAGCAGTAATGAAAATGCATCATGTGTGAATAGGGAAAGTTTTTGCCTCTTCCTTTTTTCATAGGTAATCAGCACTGCAAATATGAGACCAAGGAGGTAGTCCTGATTGTTGTGAAACACCTGGATAATAGAATAAAGGAGGGGTTATTGTTGTGGTTTTTTTTCTTCTTTTCTGCATAGTAATTCCACGGCTTTGGTAAGGTATTATTTTCTTTTTTTTCTTTCTTTGATTTTCTTTGGAGTTCCTCTGATGACACCACGAATCTGGGAATGAAGAACTTCTTAGAGGTGATTGGAAATGGCATTGCGGAGCTGAAACTCAACTGGAGGAAATATATCTCCTGAAGAAGAAAATATAATGCACTGTAAGGATCTGTCTTCTGGTGAAAAAATTAAGCCTAGAGAAAACTTGTCCACTTTGTTAGGAAGAATGGGTTGGACAATCTTCTTCAGTTCCAAAGGATATCTGAATGCCATGCTGAGCTTAATCTCTGCAGCATGCTCTGTGCTTCTCATCTCTTCCTGATGCACTGCATGGTAAGGCCTTTTCCCTTCTTTTTAATAATAACAACGATATTTCTGTTATGGTGATAGGTAAAAATAATAGCAATAATGAATTGAAAATTGAAAAAACGTAGAAAGCTAGCAAAAGAACATTTGTTTGTATGGTTGTTTTCAGGAGCAAGTGTCCTGATTACTGCAGCAGCTTTGTAAGATCATTTCTGTCTTTCTCCCTTGCTTTGTGACAGTGTGTATGTGCATGTGTGTGTGTTAGTGCACACCTGTGCTGTCATTTGCACTTGGACTGGACCATCAGTAGCTGTGTTGTATGTATTTCCACAGTAAAGAGTATGCTTAAGAATGTTCAGACATTTCTCTCTCTTTTTCCCTCCCTCCATTCTCCTCCTACTGCCCTCTTTTTCTCTCAATCTGTCTGTCTCTCTCTGGGGTCATGGTGCTATACCTGCCTTGCACCTCAGTTGTGCACTGACTGTTAGAAGACAAAAATTGAAGGTAGAGGAAATCCTGTATCAATGTAAGAATATTTATGAATAAATACTATCTGCGTACATAAAAGCTACACAAAGGTTTTGAATGTCTGCAAGATCTGCAGGTACAAAAGATTTACTTTATTTTGTTTCCCACGGGAAACAAGTAAGAAATGCAGAGTTGGATGGTGTGTTTTAGCTAAAGGGGGAGGCAGATCCTGTTACACGTCAGAAAGCCAAAAAATGACCGCTGTGAATTATGAATATATTACTCTTGGTGACCCAAGTCATAAAATAAGCAAACACAGTATGAGATGTTCCAGTATCAAGTAATTTTTGTCACATATTGGCGGGGTGTTGAGAATTATGATAATAAATTAATTCAGTAGATATTGCGAGATATTTTTCTTTAAGAAATGCAATGTGTTTTCATCCTCCTGGGTGAAAGGTGCTAGGGGAGTGCAAGACGATGTCATTAAGTAACTAAGCAGCTTACCAAAATTTAGGGTCATTATCAGGAAATTGCTAGGCAGATCAGGCATTATTTAGTAAGTGTACTGAGATGGAAGAACAGGTTAATTTCTGGTTAGTAAACCAGAAAGCCTGGTTTACTTGGATCTCTCTTTCAGAAATGAGGATAGAACTAAAAGATGCAAGAGTGGTCATGTGAAATATATATATTTTCTGATGCATTCTGGTTGATCACTGAGTTTGGAAGAGGACAAGTTGAGTGCCTCTTGAGGAGCAAACTGTGGTAAGGGCCTGCCCTTGCTCTAAGGGTAATTCCTTGCAAATCCCACTGGTTTTGATGGGGTTAGAAACAGACCAGGAGCAGGTTTGTGTGATGGTTATCACCGGCTGTCCAGCTGGGCATGGAGGTAATCAGTTCCTGGCAGCAGATTTGGAGGGTGAGAAGGATGCAAAGAGCCAAAGCAAAAAGGCCAAGCCAGGCCACCATGAGGCTCATTAACACGAATCAGAGCTTAAATCCTATTCAGAAGATGGAATTTTGTGGTATTTCCCAGTACATCTCCTCCTTGCATGATGAAGGAATCCAGAATACAGTTTTTAGAGAGCGAATGGTAATGCAGCTTTTTGAAATCACTGCAGTAGGAGGAAACAGAGATGAGACACATTCCTCTAGTGTGAGAATTTTTCATTATGGTTCAGGGGAAATAGCCTTGGTTTTAGGAGAAAAAGTTCAAAATATGCATAAATGTACACTGAGGTAGATTTTTAGTGCATTTACCATCTAAAATGTATATAGGAATGTGTATAGGAATCATAAAGAAAACTGAGGAAGGTCAACACAATACATAAATGTTGCCTTCCAATCTTTACTGTTGAAAGCAGCTCTTACTCATAGAAAAGGTCCCCTCTGCTCTTTAAGTGAACATGGACTGCATCCTAAATTCAAGTTTCCCAGTGCAAATCTCTCCTCACATCAGCAGGTCTACTTCAATCAATGGGACAACTTGTGCACGTAAGAACTACTCATGTGAATAAATTATTAAAGATTTTATTAGACCAGGCTCTTTGATTGTCATGGCAACAGATTTATTAGGCTTCGGGCATCATTTGTATTTGCCTTCTAAACAAAATCGTTTTTCCTTTTAGCCACATGAATCCTTTTGCCTTGTAATTAGGACAAGAAAAATAGGTTAATTACATTCTTAAAGATCATGCAGCTGTACAGATGCATTGTTAGTGAAGAATTATAAGAGTATACAAAAGTTTACTTTTATTAGTGATCTCCAAATCTGAGAGAAGTGAATTCTTACTGGAATTGATCATTGCCTTACTAATTTTTGTGGCAGTATTAACAGCACTGTTAAGTATTGTCAATTCTTCCTGCAACTGACTAAAAAAAAATAATTAAATCCTTTTAAATATTACTGATCCTATGAAAATAATCACTATTACTAGATTCAATGATACTTACCAAGATTTCTGCTACATTAAATAAGTTCATTCTTTAGTTAATACATGTTGTTAAGTTCTTTACTTGATCCAGGAACATATTTCTCTTCATGGTATAGAAACACAATACAAAGTCATGATAGTAAACTTCCTACAAAATATATACATAATATCCAAATAATCCAAAATAATTTGGAATTTCTTTCCCAGTGCAATTTTTCATGCTTATAAATGTTTATATTCTTACATAGCAAGTAGTATTTCCTTCTTTGTAATTTGTAAAGAACAGCTTCTTTTCAAAATACAGTGCATAGGGGTTTTTATTTCCCGCTAGAATTAGGCATAATGGAAGAAATAAATTTATAAGAAAAAGCAAGCACAGAAGCCCTTAAAATGTATCCAGTACAGAAATGCAGCAATGGCTTCATTTGTTTCTTTTATCCCTATAAGAGCAACACCTATGTAGTAAGAATAGTGGATTATTTTGTAAAGAGTGAGTGATTTTGAGAGAGAAGTTTGTGCATGATACAGGGTGCTCATTGCCTTTGCCAGACATTTCTGTCAATGATTGACTGTGACTTACAACTCTTTCTGTAGTGACATTTTTAATAATTTACTTTAAACATTTGCACAACAGCTATGTTTGGCTTTCTCTGTCAATTCTAAAGCTAGTAAAATCAGTAATTTCCTTCAGTAAAGCTCTGATGTTGAAAACACATGTATTTAATTTCAGTCCATTGAACTGCTTCTTTAGTTAAACTATGTGAATTAGAGCTTGAACCATCTGCATTATCAGGGAAATCATAATGAACAGTGGAAATATTTTCCACACTTGCAGAAACTATTTCTAGTCAAGAAAAATGTACTTTAATAACACAACACACAAGCAGTTCCTGTACTTGGAATGCCTTGAGCTGTGTTGATTCAAGACCCAGCAAAAACTGATTTTTGAAAGGCCTGCAAAAAAAACCCCAAACCCAAACCAAATGAGTCTTAAACTTTTGTTGTTTAAACATAAATAGCCACAGAAAGAATGCTTATCTGACAAGAAATTTCAGTAGATCAGCACCTTTGTTTTTCATAAGCCAGGATAAAAAAATTGAAGAGGCATAATGTTTTTTTAAAAATTAGAAACTCCCAAAATCCATATATATGGAAATACTGATTTCAAAATGACACAACATTTAATTTTAACATTTTTAATCAGACTTTCATTTGTACTGATACCTGTTTATCTATTTTTCTCAGTGAAAATTTGCTACACTTTTCTTTTAACTGATCTGTTATAGCTGTCACAGTATTTATTGCCTCTCACAAGTCAGCTCTTCAATTTGAAGCTCTCTGAAGGGACATTTTTAGACTCTACATATTGTATAGCCCTATATTACTGATAATAAAGAGCAGTTTTTACTGAGTCTGTGGTAGATGAAAGCTCTGATTGTGATTTCCTCTGTTCATTCTTTGAGTGTCTTCAGCAAAAAACAGGCTTCCATTTTGCTGAGAGTTTTACAGATACCAGAAGAAGTAGTTTCTACTACAAAAACCTTCAGGAGACCTTCAAAAGCCACGCAGACAAGGAGTAGAATTAACGGCATATTAATATCCTTATTAAATAGATAAGGAATGGAGAAACAAAGAGACTGCCCAAAGCTATGCTGGCAAAGGAAGAGTTAGAAATCAAACCCAAATGTCCTTATTCTAATTTCATCATTGTCTCTGCAAGGTTGCTCTTAATTTTCTTCTTCTTTTTTTTTTTTTTTTTCTTAATTAATTGCATCTGGACTTCTAAGATAGTACTAGTTGAAGTATCAAATGTGAAAGGCAATTATTGATGCATACTTCCTCTCCAGTCTGACACAGTTGTCCTAAAAATTCTTTTTTGTTTCCCAAGCCATTCTATTTGAATTTAACCACTAATTATGTAACTGCTTTACTACGCAGGGAAAGTAAATTCTGGATTAAACAAAAAATATTAAATGAAAATATCCTTAGTGTGCAGCACAGGTTCTGAGGGATGTACATGTTTATCTGTTTATGGTTTTAGGGTGCAGGGATAGCTGTGAGGGTATGTGGTGGTTTTGAGGACACTTGGTAAATGAATCAAATTCCAACATATAAAAAAATCCAATTAATACATAAAAAGAATTATGTTTTGCCGTCTAGAATTCACACAGGTCATTATGAATCCAGCACTTGTTCACAAAAAGATAACACAGCGAATATGGCACCTAACAGTGATCCTTATTAACCCTGCTATGTTTATATAGGTTTGTTCAAAAAGTACTTAATGGCTAAAATTATAGCTGAAGTTGAGGAAAAGATACCTGCCTTGGCCTCTTAAAACAAAACTGGGAAAATTTTGTTCACATCAAGAGGCAAAAAAAGCATTTTGCAAATATGCCAGACTTTTGGAATGAGTTCTGCAGCAGAGTATCCAGGAAGCTGAAGGGCTTTCTGCCTCACTCTGGTCTACTTATGCAACTCCAGGTGTGACACAGCTCTGGAAGTGACAGGTACCACACTTAGCCAATTACCCAGTGATATACTGAAGTAGAGGTTTATGAAAGTCTGATTAAAAGCAGCACTTCCACTAGAAACCTCATCTCGCTTGTGTTTTATTCCTAAGAA